AATGTATAACCGTTATGGTGATATGGTCCGGTGATGTCTTTAATACAATGACTAATGAGTACAAGTACTCTTTCGCACTACAGAGTAATAGCGTAAAATGCGCGTAAATAACGTAATATGTATATATCCCGTTTAAACTACATAATAATATGCGTATCCATAATAATTTATCCGTAAGTAAATTTCTTACCTCTTTCGTCCATTACGTTTATTGAATTAGGCGCACTTATTGTACATGTGTCTGCAATATTATGTTCTTAATTGTACTATTCCACAACCGTTAGTAAATGTGTGTATATTTCACGCGCGTGAAAGTTTAACAGACGGCGGCGGCGGCGGCGGCGGCGACCCGTTATAAAATAAAAAGAGACGAAATCAAAACAATACGATTCGTTGTAGTAAAACGTCAATAATAATATGTTATAAAGACTATAGTTAACCGCATGCAGACGGTTAATAAAAACGACGCTGATTACATTTTTCATAGCATATCGTATGATGGTCACAGGTAACAAAACGCAAAACGTAAGTAGTCACAATAAACATGATAAGCGTTTTCACTTGAGATATTGTTTCGATCAGAACGGAATTCGTTAATGACTATTTTACAGCAAAACTGATTATAAATAAGTTCCAATGATTTTTATTGGCTTTAAATTTTCGCGATTGCAACTCGACAACTATAATGCACAAAATTCTTAATTTATTCAATATCCTACACAACGGTTGAAGATTAATTGTTTCTGAACAATTGAATATTTCAATAGAGTAGATGAGTAAAGCAGTAACGTTTGGCATTTTGACGATTTAAAAGTGTTTAATTTCTAAAACTGATAATTGGTATTGCAACTGCCTTATTGGCTAGTGATCTGAGAAAGAAAAAAAACTTCACCGACAAATCGAATCATTGTATTAAGCTGAGGTGAATAAATAATAACCGTCTGATAAAACAGGACACGCACGTACGGTGAATAATTTTTAATTTTCAACAGTAGAAACTGTTTGTGTAAAGTTCTTTATTAACCGCATCTGACGATTGCGAATACTATGTACTTGGTTCTGCACATACATCGACTAAGTAGGATATAACATAATATTACCATCTTTAACGGCGTTTACATTTTGTAGAACAACTTTAAAAACCTAGCATGGATAGAACCACGTATAAACTATACATAAACGCTTTGTACACGCACGAATCAGGATCGGTGGCAATTTGTGCAATCCGCAAACAAGATTCTTACCTGAACCGGGTGGACGGTAGACCTTTTTTCTTCCCCAAAAGCGATATCGTACCAATTACAGTATAATGAAACATGACAGTTGGTTTGGACGAGAATGGGCGTTTTTGTACGTCTGACGTAAAAAGAAAAAAAAAATCACCGTTTGCCCCGCGGGGACGAAATTAAACGCACATTTTGTTTCATATTTTTTTTTCGTTTCTCGTAAACCGTGTAGGTGGCAATCGTGTAGTGCACGCTTCGTACGTTTCCGTTGGACGTTCGGGGGGGGGGGGGAAGAGAGATGTGGGGCTTACGTAAACATAATATTTGTTTTGTTCGTTGTAGTAATCTGTGCGAAATCGCGTCTCGGCCAGCGGAATACGCCGCGTGTTCTCCGCACAACTCGGAACGGTTAACGCTTTGATACGGTCGCGCGCCAGTGTTTATGACCCTCTCGTAATCGCGATCGGCGCGTAACGCGTACCCGGGTGGTGTACCATTCACGCGGTGCGGTCGCTAAACTGTAGCGCTCGCCGAACCCGAGACCGAAAAACGCGGTCGGCGACGAAAATCCGTTCGATCGCCGTCGACGAGCGCGGTCGTGGTGGACGCGAACGCGCGTGAACCGCGAATCGACCGTTTCTCGGTACACGGGAGCTGTAGCGGTCGCGTACAGACGCGGTACGCGCGGCGGAACGCGTTGCGCAAAGACTTCGGTCGGCGATCGCGGCGGCACCGATCGGCGTCGGAGGACGCGCGGGAATTCGAATCACGTCCGTCCGAGACCCGACTGCGACTTGAAACACGACGCCGGTAAACGGAATGCGACGAAACCATTAAAAACAATCATCGCCCGTTGGCCGCGGGATCGCATAATCGTTCGTTTGTTTTCGCACTTCGGTGCCCGGCACACCGTGGCCGTATTTCGGGGGGGGGGGGGGGCAAAGGGACGATCGCCCCACCCTGAACCCGTATTCGAGGAATCGATTTCATGTGAGGTACACGTTTCAATTTTTTTTTTAATGCTGATCGTTTTATCACGCGTAGCTGTGAATTGGGATTTTTGTCGGGTCCGTACTTAGTGAACAATCAAATGAAATACAAGCGTGACTTTCAGAACACAGGCAGGTGTTGAAAAAGAACTACTCAAAATCGATTCCAAGTGGATCCCCGGAATTAGATTAAAAAAAAAAAAAAAAACCACAAATATTAAGGATTCGCCTGATTCAAACATTACCAAACATTTTACTTGTACATTTTGAGCAAAAATTAAAGAAAAGATTTGAACGCCCCCCCCCCCCATAAAAGTAAGTATAAATAGGTCTCTGCCCGGCACTCGTTTTTCGATTTTTTTCACGCTCATTTTCGCGATCGTCTTCCGACGACACGGATACCGTGGACTGCAGTCTCTCGGTTTGTTCGGGGCCCTCGTTCGTGGACGCGCCACGGTCGTGGTAAACCGCATTTGACCGTTGGCCGGTGTTCGGGACGACCCGGACTTAACGATCGCACCGCGAAGCAAAAACACTAACGATAACGTTAGTTACGCTAACAAAGCTAACATTATACCGCCGCAGGGTCGTGTTGTTGTTCTCCGCCAAACCCAAAAACGAACCGTACGCGTCACGCCCGACGAAACGCATTTGTGGCATCCACTCACGTGTACAATGAAGTACGTTTTAAGTACGCCCCCCTCCACCCCCGAAACGTTGTAAACGGAGCCCCGCAGTTGAAGTCTATAAGTAAGGGGCCCGATTGTTGCTCGAATCAAATGCAATTTATTCTAAGATATTCGGTAAAAAATATAAACGATGTTTCGTAATAGAATAAAACAAATCGTTCTTAATGTTCACGCAAAAACTCATTCTGATTATATAACCGCTACAGTTGACTAAAAATGTACAAATCCTAAATAATTGAAGCTATCCGAGAAAAATATGCTGGTTACAATGGAAACAAATTCATTGGGACTAATATACCGCAATATTGAACACAAAATCAAAGTTACGCTTATTCAACTGTTTATACGATTTAATTTTCATACCTACACGTTTTGTTAAGATAAGGTCCGAAAGCATTGTAGGCACCGCCTGAAATATAGGTCTGCGCACGCCTATGATTTTAAGTATTATACGCGCGTCATACGTTCTCGGGCACGGTGCGCACACGTCGCACCACTCTTGGACAAAAAAAAAAATATCGTGACACGACGCGATCGGGATCCAAAGTATTTTTTCTTTTTTCTCTCTCTCTCTCTCTCTCTCTCTCTCTCTCTCTTTATTACGCGTTTTAGGTCAGTTGAAAACCGCGTGCGTGTGTTTAATAACTGCACTCGTAAAAACCGGAAATCGACGGCGATTTATTAATAAAATGACGTCGGAGCATGTTGCATGTATGTTAATTTTCAAACCTCATGAATAATTTTATCAACTAAAACGCATCATCAATACCGTTATTGGATTAATTTACCACACTCACTATCATCCTCTCTCACCCTCTCTGCGCGAATGAAACGATTGAACACGTCAAGCCATTTATATTTCAAAACTCAAACGTTATATTTTGTCAATATAATCTAAGATTACTTATGCTTTTTTATAACTATTACTCATTTCGATGAATGATGCAAATAGATGATGTAGGAAATCATTATTGAATTTTCGCGTAATTGATACATCGGTTGATTTTTTTAGTTTTTTCTTTTTTTTATGTTATCAATGGTAATTTATCATTCAAATCACTAATACACTTATCTAGACGCTTAACACTTAGATTATTACAAATAAAACGATGAAGCTACGTATTTTACATTTATTTTTTTTTTTTATATTTATATGGATTTTATATAAATATCGAAAAATTCATCTTAAACCGCATTGTTTATACATTATATATTCGTATATGAATATCAAAAAAAAATGCATCAATTAAAATATGCAGTTTTATGTTTGTAATCATAAAGAATTTATATTCCTCTTTCCCAAGGTATAATATTTTTTCCGATTAAAACTGGTAGATTCCGCAGTTTCAAAACGCATATTACGAAGTGAAAGAATCCATACAGAACAGGTGCAACTACTGATGTTACAGTGCGCATAGCGTATGAATTTATCATCGGAACGGTGATTAATGATACAAGAAACGTATAAAGGAGAATTATCCGCTATTATGTTATGAATTCGATCGGGATACGGATCTTTAACAATAGGTATTCTAAGCCCGTATGTAGGGTTCGTCCTTTAAAAGCGCCGTATACAACAAATAGTTAATCGCAACGCAGAAAGATGTACCCGCACTCCGTGGAAGCGGAAACGATTGAAATGTTATTTATTATTCACGCGGTCGAAGAATTAAAAGCTATTAATAATTATTTCGATCGTTGAAAACCCGGACCGTTTGATGAGTGCGTCGACGGTGTACGTTTTTAAATTCGTCAACAGTAATATTAAAAACATTGAAGTCGAGCGACTATGTAAACAGCCACGCAACGTAATAAAACGTCGATGGTTTTACCGTCGTTACGGTGTAACGAATAGTGCCGAGTAGTGTTTATGGAATCGACCTCCACTTATGACTTTCAGGCGAAACGACTTCCTGAACGTGTACGTACCGTAAGAGGATCGTTTGTTGTTCTGCTGTGGATGATATAACATTGAAACACGCGACTTGCGCGGTACGGTGAAGGCCAATTCAATATAAAACGTTATTTCTAACGAATTTAGGAACGTATCATTATAACGAATGGAAAAAAAAATTTTATAAAAGAAACACACTTACCCCCGACGGAGATTTGAACGCTCCGTCGCAACGCAATGATCAATAGCGTTGGCCGGTTTTGGACGGTAAGAGTCAAATAGACACGGATTAGAAGAACTCGGAACGAGTGAATTCGCGGAAATCGATTTCCATCGAAACGTATTGTTTTCGTACGGCGATCCAAACGGCCCTCCGCGGAAAATATAGGTATTGTAACCGTCGAAAAACGCGATCCTTATCCTACAGCACAGGAGACACCGGTGTTGTGCGCGGGAGTCACCGCGAGAGACAGTCGGACGGCGTTCAAAAACATTTCGACTGCCGGCGGTGACGTCTCGCGCGTTACCCGTTGTGCTGAACCGTGGCCGAACCGACGAGCGCGTTTCCGGTTAGGGGCTACGGACGCGGACGCAACATTTTACAATGCACTCGCGCGTTTGTTTTTAAAAACATCCCCCCCCCCAACCCCGGAGTCGGCGATGCGCGCACGCGGAGGGCGAGAAAGACAAAACCACGTGCAAAGGAAACGCTGCCGCGGCGAAACAAAAAAAAAAGTATACTCACCACAATGCAGGCAGTCATCCGAGTCGCACATGTTCGTACGGGTAGAACTGAACTCACCGAATGCGCACGCACAACGGACGACGCGCACGGAACTCGACCGCACAGCGGAATGAACGAACGGTTGCCGGACGCACTTTACCTGCGGCGTTTCCCTCTCCCCTCTCCTTTCGCCCCACACCCAATGTTGTTATTGTTACTCGTATTATCCTTACTCGCCGCGAACACGCCGTAGTTCTCGGTTGTCCTCTCCCGTCGACGACTGGACCACCGCCACCACTCTGCTTTCTCCTGCCCCGGCGATGCAACGTACGGTTCGCCGTCGGCCCCGAAAGAAACAGAATCACCTGTTCGCTGTTTTTTTTTTTTTCTCATCTCTCCTCCGTTTGTTTGTCCTTTTTGACATTTGACCTGACGCACGTCAGCGGCGCAGTGTTCGCCGCCACCGTCCGCGTAGGCGCATCTAACCGACGATACAATTGTCGTGCAACAACGCGCGTATTATCGTCGAAAACGGAAAAATCCGATTCGTTTTCGAAACGTGATCCGGAACAACGCGGCTATCACGCTGGATCGATGGCGTTTTCGCACCAACTCGTCGCCGATATTTTTATTGTACAGCTACCAAACGCGCCATCGATTCGGACGTAAGCGCCAACGGAAGAGTTCGCACATGTATTGACGGACGAGCGAAACGTATCTGCTGTACTCGAAATGGCGACTTTATTTGTTGCCGAACAATTGGCGAAAACAATGGAATAAACAATGCGTAAGATAAATACGGTTAAAGTTTTCTAGGTCGGTTAGAAGACTCCATGGTCGAGTCAAATACTGGGATGGCTGTATTGGTAATTTAAACTCGGAACCATTGGTATAATGCTCTCGTCGGGATCAGTTTATATCTTTAAAGATGGTTGATATAATAGTATAACCGAATTTTTTATGAACGTAGATAGAATTTTTAATGATCTAACTTTTGCGGGCAAGTATATTAAATTAAAATATAAATACGCCTCCCCCGTATTATCAAACTATAATCTATTACAATTCGAGAGAAATCAAAAATTTAAACCGTCAAATGAACAACGCAAATGTAATTAAAATATTTCGATTATTATGAAATATCTTTAAAATACTAATATATAAATTCTCAGTATGTGTTTCGAGTCGCTACAATAAAATATTATAGAATAACAATCAACTAGCAAATAATATAATTTAAAATCGATGAAATAACTAATATCAACAAAGTTTTATCTTTTAACATATACATTTTTTTTGGAATTTTCTTGTACATTTGTTTTTTGATTACAAAGAAAATCTTATGAAAAAATCTTGTCTTTAAATATCAAGCTTTAATTATCAAAATTAAAAGGTCTATGCATTTTTAAATACAACAATGTGGCAGATTTGCGTGATGTTTATAGTTTGGAAAAATTACTATTCAAACTCTTATAAAAAGCTTTTTTCAAATTAAGATGGAACTTTTTTCATTAACCAGTTAGAGACGAGGAACTAAATGTTAAATTACTAAGTCTTTTTTCAAACCAAAATAATTTTTCGACATTTTACAAAAAAAAAAAAAAAAAAACATAATATTTTCAAACATCTATAAATACCATAAAAAAGTCGAATTACGAGTATATTGAAAATGATACCTTTTTTGAAAAAAGAATGATATTATCATACTGCGAAATATTTAATTTTCTCTAGCTAATATGTATTAAGTTACAATTAAAACAAAAATTTAATTCTGTCAAAATCATGATTTTTTTTAATTTTTCGTCAGTTCATTTGCAACTGTTAATAAAACTGTTTGAAAATATGTAAAATGACACCCTAAAAGTACCAACTAGACAATAATTCCTATGATTGTGATGATCGGAGCAATCATTCTGGTCGAAACGTGTACACAAATATAAAAAATGAAATAAAAATAAAAATTTAAAAAACACATATAATAATGGTTAAACAGATGCATATCTCGTTTCACCCAAAATCTATAGTATAAATTAATACATTTATAAACATAATGTGTACTATAAATTTAAAATAAAAAGTGAAAAGTATTTTACATTTGTATACACAAACGAGGTGTCGGTTTTCGGGTAAAATAATTCTGTATCACGACATATATTTGGCACATTCGGATGTTTTTTTCATAGTCGAATATTTCTGAATAAAAAATAATATACAATGCGGATTGGCGCCTTCGGGTTTTTTCGCACGCCCGTCGGTCAACGATTTTCGTACCTTTTCCATCTGCAACGCGCTGACAAACGGCTAACTACCTTGATTTACATATTCCGAACGAAATGCGCGTAATTATACACCGCACGATCTTCCTTACGATATACACATTTTAAATATTACACGATTATAATATAATCGTGTAATACTACTACTACTACTACTATATTATAGTGCTACCGCGATCGCGGAGTAGAAATTATCCAATCGTTCGGCTTTCATAATACATCGTATATCGCATTGAAAACTACCTATTAACTTTGCGACTTTCATACCGCCAAAACGAAAATCGATCGTACCTATTATCGAATAAAATTCGTCGTAATAATTATACAGTGCGAGTGGTGTTACAAAAAAATCGAGTATATTCGCACTCACACCTACTTAATGTTGTACGAGAAATCGATACATTACGAGTACGTACGCACGCAAATAATAAAATTTCTTTTATAAATATAATCTCTTAAAAATGTTTGGTCCAATCCGGTGTATACATTATTATAGAAATATACTTAGTAACGGAGTACAGTAAACACCGATTCGACCAATAATTATCGTACCACGCTTTGAAATCAAATCACATTAGCTGAGCTATATTTATTGTTATTATTACGATAGTAAGTTAGATAAAATTAAACAAGACTATTGAAATGGGCTACGGCTCAACATGTTTACTCGACGGAAATCATCAATAAGCTATAATAACTTTTTAACGCAATCGGTAAGCTATAACTTTAACATGCTTTGCGATAAAAAAAAAAAAAAAAAGTATAAAAGAAACATACGCCGCAGTGTGTAAGTGTGACGAAAACTGTTGCCACGAATGAGTGTACAAATTACTATAGCCTAAATAAAGGGTTTAGATTTCCATTCCAAGCCAGTGTTTTTTAATGGTCGTCATAAATGCACGCACCTCAAAGGATAACGGTACCGGACGGAAACAAATTTTTAAGTGCGTTTAACTGTCATTGAAATGTATCATAAACATATCTTCAATCAGTCGATATATTGCATGCATAGCCGTCGTTATGCCGACGTAAAAATGTTAAAAGCTAAATAAACAACGCTCGGAGGTCGGCTGAAAACGTATACAACTATTGTGATGCATGCGCACCCGGTTTAAAATAACATTTACCGTATTTATAATAACGCGTTATTATTAAAATTTAATATGCCGAATTTAAATACGTTTTTTTATCGAAACCAATTATATCACGTTGATTCCATGTACCTCCTCGTAATAGATGAAACCAATGAGTTCTTATACCGTCGCTCAGTAAAAACATTTAAAATATGTAGCTACTAAAATTATGACATGGTAAAGACATAATAATAATGCGATTCCTCCGGAGGGACGTGTTCTATCATTAAAGTTAATCTTTGTATAAAATCGTTTTCTCAATATTTCGAAATCAAACTCTTCACGTCGAACACTGTAATCTGAACTAACATAATAATAATAATATCCGAGTAATTCGGATTGCGCGAAAGTACGGAACCAAGGACAATTGGTTAATTTAATTAATAAAACTTACGATCAGTGTTTATTTCAGACCTCATATTCCGGGGTGGTATCGTCAATTTTCAAGGGGATACGTAGTATGCGATATCCCATAGGAGTGAATACATAAATAAATACATTTTCGGGTGGATATAAGTTTTTCTTCTGGGGAGAAGTAATACCTCTCCGGTCACCACTAAAATAAACACTGTCTACGATAAACGCTGATTTTAAATTTATTCAAATTATATAGAATATATGCTTATTTATGATTATATACGTTTGTTTAGATTTTTTTTAATGCTATCCATTTTATTACTCGTAGATATGGTACTAATAATAAAGAAATGTTTTTCCATTTTACCTACAATAGTATTTTATAATATTGCATTTTATAAATAACATAGTGTAATATTACTATACGCTCCATTGGTTCTTATTAATAATAGTTATTGACTCGTACGAATCCTTGAAAGTATATAAATTGATTAACAAACTATAGCCGTAAAATATCTTAATTAGTAATTATAAACACTTATTGGTTTTGTGAATACAACAAATTACAATATGTATTAAAAAGGAAAAGGAACATTGACACTATTACTTTAATTAATGCTGCTAGAGAAAATAATTTTATTATAAATACGTATCAATCGATTGTTTTCCATTGTAAATGTTTTATTTAAATTTAATACTTACGCGTTCACAAAACTATTATATTTTCTAGAATACACTGCAAATAACCGGAAATAACGGTTATTTTGAACTATAATAATGTTCTAGATCGATTGCCAATCGTCGTTAAAATTATAAAATATATAACAAACGATTAGTTTAGTAATTAAAGATTAGGATAAGTTAAAAAAAAATGATCAA